GCTTTTTACGGTACGGAATTTACCTTCTTTGTTCTACAAAAAACTAGAACGAAGAAGAGTACAGATTAATGAGTGTTTGTAAGACACAAAAAAAATTTTCAATTCGCTCTTCACTTAGCTCCGCTTTCCATTCTAATATGCATGGCAGTTAACTTCACAGCAATATCAGAAGTACGAAATTACGTTGAAATACTTTTATTACAAGTCACCTCAATAACTTTTACTACATTAACAAAGTCCAGCTGAAAAAGAGCTTTTTTTCTGCAAAACATAAGAAAAAGATTTAAAGGCGAAGTAAATAAATACACTTACAGAAGTAATAGCGGAACAACAAGATAAAGAAAGCAGTGATACACACGTTATACAATTGAGAATAATACTAGAAAATTTGAAAGATTATCTGCCATATTTGTATCAAATGATCATTATTGCCGTAACGTTACGGATTTCTCAGCAAAAATATGTTCAGCTTTTCCTCGAATGCCACTTTTCCAGAGATGTTGTTACAGTAGTCTCGAATCTCTTTTTCTGTGCATTTTGGCGTATTTTTCACAGCGGGAAAGCAGCCTAAGTTAGATCTTGTGGTATGTTAACAAGAAAAATAGACTTTCAGAAAGCTAACATAGAAAATGCTCAAGATGCTGAAAAATCACTTTACCTGAGTACATGATTTTCTCCCAATCAAATCGATCCACAGAGATTGGCACAGCGGCAGAGAAAGTGGTAGAGTTAAGTTCGGCCTGAGATAATCAAACGAGCTAATTTTAAAAATATTCATTATTTTACTAAAAATTGGTTACACTGTACTTTTTGAATTCTTTCGCAAAAAACAATTATTTAAATTGGTAGCAACAAAAAATTGTTCTAAAATACTTTTAAAAGCTAAGTGTCTCAGTCTTACAGCTTTCACTGCGGCATTGATATCCTCTCTAGTTAGCATAAGTTTTCTCCATAACATCAAACAGCAATCGGGCACAGGAATAGGCGGATTTTTAGGTCGAGCCAAGATAACTATTGGTGCGTTTTCTGTAAATATTTCAATTAATTCATGGCACCGATTAATCTTATTTTTTTAAATTTAAGATTGCGGATCTAACAACGTGCAAACAGTTCGTAGGATGCATAGGTGCAAGATAACAGTAGATCAAAGAACGCTAGGAGTTTATAGGTTTTTTGGTTCAAACAGTATTTGCAGCCGTATGGTTTCTCATTTCCTCGATTCGTAAACGTCATCACACGAGTGTCATACGGTCTCACACAACAATGATATAGCACAGGAGATTCCGTACGTGACCACAAACGATCAACACGCAATTGGGTACCATTGGGGCAACTTCTAGAGCAAAATTCTTCGAAAAAATTAAATTTAAAAAATCGATAGAAAGCTGGATCTGGGATGAGATAATGATTATGATGGTACTCTTATGAGATGTCGACTGTTCGTGGACGCATAGGGTATCTCCATAACATGGATGTACAATAAAATGTGATCACTGTTCTGTCACCAATAACTC